AGTGTAGCGGCCATTTCCATCTCCGAGGTATGATGAGACCACCACACTTCGCAACCTCTCTTCAGGCTGGCTGCTAGTTTCGCTCGGAGAGATTTGCTGGTCTCATTGTGTCCGCTTCCAGCTGGAACACGCCGGTGAGCATCCAGAAGTTCCAGCGACTACCTCAAGACCGAATATCTAGGTTGGCAATTTGATTTGCCACATCAAATTTTTTCGTTTGGTCTACGATATGCATGACAGCGGACTTGATCCGATGAACATAGGCCATAAAGAAAATGCTTCTGTAAACATATCTACCATCATAATATTGTGATGCCCCAGAAATATGTTATGGTGCCGCTGAATGTGCGGCTAACGTGCTCCTACCGTGCAGCTGACCGTCGCCAGAAATGTGTTGTGGTTTCCGCTGACAGTACGATAACCTGCCTGAAATCTGCTGTGCCGCCCCCAACCAGTTTAACCCGCCACGAAGTGAGAACGCCAGAGAAAACAGCCGGATCGAGGGATTCCCATTCTGATTCTATTGTATGAGAGCATGGCGCAAGAAATAGGTTGTAGGAAACCACTAACACAACAAAATTGCAGATGCTAATTAATATTAATAAACACAACTCGAACGGTTCAAGTTCGTGGTTCGACTTGCCGTTTACTCCACATAAATTCGCATTTTGATCTTTCGTTCGATCTCTAATTGTGGATCGATCCACTGCTCTCGGCCTGAACACTGACTCTCCATAACATTGTGTTTCTCTTTTAGTCTCGTCAGCCATAACCGTGCTTTTTTGCCAAAGATACATCACCCACTTGCTCCGTTGAAAAAGCTGAGGCGCATTGACTTTACCTAAGACTGAACACAAGAATGTCGAGTGCCTTCGAACAACTCAATTCATTATTGATCTTATCAATTCCAATCCACCTCAGGAAATGCTTCTCGCAACGAATGCATCTTGCCATGGAATCGGGCGGTACATTGATCCCAGAAAGCGGTCGCTCGCGCTGCCAGTGCTTTGATGAAAGGCCAAATCGGAAAAGTGGCATTAGCTAAAGTTTTAAACTGTGGTGGTATCACAAGGTGCTGTATGACCGCTGCTTTTAACTTTTAGTTGATCACAACTCGTTTTCTGGCCATCTTCGTTTTGACGAAAAATGATCGCGCTTATACAGACAAAAATCTTCAATTTTGCGCACTTATTCTTTTAGTCTGTGATGCTATTGTTGACTACTACTCAGCGGTTTCTGTTTGTCAAATGGATGCTTGCTTACGCTTCACTGACTCACCAGCACTGGCACGTCAACACTATGATAACTTTAGTTTATCTTACACCCGCATTCTTCGTGAGTGTCGCATTCCATGACTTTATAGATACCGCAGTAACTGTCCTGGCTGAGGCGCTTCATGTCTTGCTACTCAAGTAGGTCACCCGGTTACACAGAACCAGTTTATCATTTTCATGTTCATCAGCCACATTGCAACAATTTATCAGAGGAAATATTTGCTATCCTTTGTGAATGGATTCATACCGTTCTCTGAAAGAGTTGTCATCCTGAGGTCTTAACTAGGCACTTACTTTGACAATTCCATGTAAGACATTCTGGGATCAACGGAATAAAAACAGTTGTCCGCAGCTAGATGTGCTGGACGCTCATGGACAGACGGTCAGATAAACTAGTCAAACGTTCCCGAGGTATTGCAACGCTCTGAAGACATCACAGTAGTGCAGCTCCACTCATGGCCAAATTCCCTTACAACGATGGTGCCGTATTCATTCCGACTTCACCGGGCTAGTCAGCAGCCAAAGCCTAATCATTGTGATCGACTGTTACAGAAAGTGACACGAAGCATTCATTAATAATGCAACGACCGATGTCACTGTATGAAGACTACTACAAATCCTCGGCACGTTGGGCTACCCAGGATCACTCGTAACGGCAACGGCGTGCAGTTCACTTCGGCTGTCTTCATGGAGTTCTGAAAGTGGTGCACTCTCTGGCAGATTCGCTCATGGCCTTTTCGCCTGCAATCATCCACCAGACGAAGTGTTTCTGCAGACGTTTTAGCTAGCTCTCCTCAGATCTAACAGGGAGGGAAGTATAGAAAAAGTGCACAGATTCCTTTTCTTTTACCACTTCATGCCACACTCGCAGTTATTGAGTAATGCCCGCTAGTAGGATCGCAAGAGGCTCCAAATGCCATCCGATACCCTTCGGCTGGCCCGGAGCTCTCATATGGTGAAACCAAAATTGCAGCGAGAATTATCTTAGTGTCACGGAGCAAATTTGCCAGGGAGTTAATACTCTCACACGACTACCGGAAAGGCCATGCTGTAGGTAAGATCAATTACAAACGTGGTTATATCACATGTTATGTGCTCGTTGGTTCATGAACCTGGATCTGCCATGCAAATCAGCTACTTCTAACGCTCTGCCAGCCAGATACGAGGAAGCCAGCTACTCTGACCTTCTACTTATGGATCATTTCAGCTTGCTTACTTATTCATTATTTTGCCACACCTGCCTTTCTTTGTTTTCGTATCATCCAATCCTACACCAGTCTAACTGGCTGTGAATTCCCCCCACTTTCTTTTGCTCAGTGAGGCGTGCGCTACGCTGCTCTTGTTGGTCCTGTCTGCATTCCCTTTGCAATTCACTTTTGGTCCATTTACTTCACTCTTCATCGTCACTCCGTATTTGTCACATCCATCAAGTGTCTTTGGTGTCCACTTGTATTGGTGGTACACTTACAACAACACGGAGGATTTTAGTCAGCCTACTAAGCAGTCGAAAGCCGGGAGCCACCTGCTGGGATGACAACATTAGAATTATAACTAAATCCTCCTACTCATGAGTAGAATGATTTTCTGTCTGAGCGATGGATCAATGGAAGCAAAACATCAACTTCAAGGATTTAAGTCAACTCAAGGCTGTCATCTTATGCCGCAGTAACGATCTCAAGAGGAAAGATACAAGAGATGAAGTCAAGATTGCCAGTTTTTACTTGATAGCATTATTTGGGCTAATAATATACAGGCAAAGCATCAAGTTGTTCTAAGAATATTCAAGCCCATAACGTGAGGCATTCATCTATCTCACTCATTGTGCTCGCATTGATATGTAAGTATCCGGTTTTCACACTACTTGTACTGATTTATGCTGTTTGTCTCGAATCGCGCTTTCGTCTCTGGTGCTTAGCTTTCGATTTTGGCTCTGACCGGGGGCCTGTGGGAATGAAACCTGACCAGCTACGATCACACAAAAGAGGAAAATCTGACGATAGATGCGGAATGTGGCCAGTTGTCATTAAGAAATTCATGAACTTCCCACGTGATGCCCAAAGTTAGGTTTGGTAGCTCAGTCAAAGCCTGTGGAGGCAACGGGAATGGGCCAGTCATCTGTAAGGTGGATTTATTTGACGGAAATGAATACATCCATATATCAAGCTGCTGGTGGTCATCTTTGATCCCGGACTGTGGTCTCAGTAAATGTTGTTGCTCTCCGTCAATTGGCGTTTTGCAACAACCCTACAGGCCGTCACTGCTTCATCTTATGATTCGACTGCGTATTTCTAACGCCTGTTGATCGGCTTGTGTTTTTAACTACTAGTGCAACTGTGCAACTTATAACTGGTCAGTCTAACGACTTAAATAAATTGACTAGTTAGTCTGGTTTGTTTGTTCTTTTCGCTGCTACGATGAGTCTGCTTGGTCACAACTTTTCCCAGAAATCTTGTCCGATGTGGCTGTTCTGCGTTCATTTGGTCGCTTTAAACTGCCCTTGTTCCGCTTGATGATTCCTTTTTGTACATTGATCCCGTTGTAATCCTTGTGTCACCGGTTCGAAGGTGCTCAGGTTTAGTCATCTTTGCAGTCTCCCGGCCCGTATGCAAGCGACGCTGGATGTGTGACGGCGAGGTTTCCATACTAGCTTCCGGCGTTCTGCTGGTGCCTTTTAACTTTTTCTTTCGGTTTGTATATGTCCTCATTTTTGTCTCATGGTTAATTTCTATCATTGCCGTTTTATTTACTTTGCGTCTGTTTTGTATGGGTTCTTTCTTGCTAGTGTTTTACATGGGGTTGCTTGGACTTCATTGCTCTACTCACAGTTGAGTACTTCAACTGGATTGAGCGACGTCCTGTTTCGCCTCATTATATCGCTAAGCATGTGGCAAAGGCCATGTCATTCAGTTCAAACGTACTGCTCGTATCTGCTGATTTCTCTCTCCGAAACCCCCCTAACCCGCACGGGGATACTAGGTGGGCGTTGCACCATTGTTCTTCACTTATGGTGACGCTCTTCACACCAACTTTCATTCAACCCAACTTATTGAATCCGGGATTGTCTCATAAACTTCGTACTGGTCTCTGTGTGGATCTGTGAGGCACGAGATCAACTTACTCCAGTGACCTGCATTTTCCCTCGTTTTTTCATCTGTAAGTGCAGTTACTTTTAACATGACCAACGGCACTGCGGTTCAAATGTACACTCGATTCTTGTCAGCCACCAGCGACCATTTGATAAAAACCACTTTTTCTTGCGGTGGCCATGACCAGAGAAAGTATCCACGGATTTACGCGATTTACGAACGTACTACTTCACCCCCTCTTTCTCGTTTGGTAATCAAGGACATCGGAATTCGTCTATTTTTATTGCTTGCTTCAGTAGAACCTTAGACGCCGGCTGTATTTACCGCTCAATTTATCTATCTATCCTTGCCTTCTCTCACTTGTACTCGATGTTTTCTGTGAAGTGTACACCAATTGCGTCTGTATTCACATTATTCTCCGACTCAACCGTCCGACTGTACACCTTTCTGTGACCCAGTGGTGTTCGGCTTTTACTATCGACCATTAAACTGTGTATTGTGTTCTGGTCGACACTATCTTCTGTCTCAATTTGCACTTGCTCTCCAATACTTTCGCCCTATGCCTGTTTTTACATCGCTATACTGGATTCCCAAAAGCCACAATAGTCTCCTTTGATTCTTTTCTGCTTTCAACCTTCAGGGTCAGCAGGTATCTCCAGAAATTCTTGTATTTCTGGAAATGGATGTGTTTCCCAAATGTTTTGTCAATCGCATACGGAGTCCATTGCTGTCCCTGGCACTCCCCCTTTACTTAACGCCGTATTTAGCGGTCAAATCTCAGCTCGACCCGAAACGAACGGTTCTCACGGCTTACCGTCAGGGGGTTTGTACCAACCCGTGTTACAAATGAGAGATCATTCATCCGCCGGTTTCCACCCCCACTCTCATTCGGAACCGCAACAACACCAAACTCCCGCCTTTATGGCCCACACTCTTCAGTTATTAGCTGCTGCAGCTGCTCGCAGTCTTGGCGTTGGTCCTTCGCTCTCCGTTGCCGCTGCCCTCCCGAACAACGGAACTGTATCGCTGGTTCCAACGATTGAAAACATTGCTCCACCTGGACTCGTTGATCCACACCTGCAGTATCCCCATTCTGTTCTTCCCGATCACCTTCAGGTAAAGGCTACTCATTTTGTAAATCTCTGATATATTGCTTTGTGACAGCAATTTGCTGGCTAATCATGTGGAGCATTTCTAGCCAGTTTTGAATTTCAGCATTGCATTGTCATCTCTTTCATGGCCACAGGTCCTTCCCACCAATTGCAGCAGATGACTGAGCTTAAATCAGGTCTTCCCGTTGCAACGGCTCTTTGTGCCATGGCACCTCTAATCCTGTTAACTGATGCTCATCGGGCAATTTTTCATTGCCCTACATACTCTGTATCTGTCGTTCATCCGTCTTTTAAATTAGACAAACATTGTGGTATCTTCCTACCCATTTCCTTTCGATCTCAATAAAAATTAGGGATGTGAATTAGTATTCCGCCTCACGGGATTTATTGGGCTTAAGAGGATCCCAAACGTACTCATAAACGAATTGGAGGAGCCATGATGGTTAACAAATTATCTGGTATTTGCACTGTTGCACTGTCACAAACCAGCCACCAAGCAAAATTGGTCTTGGGATCACCTTAGACGATTATACTTGACTGTTTGGATACACACACGCACACACTGTACACGTGAACTAGAGGTGGGAAACATATCAGCTACTGTGCCGCAATGCCTTAGAAAAAGGTAATAAAATCCAACAGGTGCAAGCCAGCTGAGCTACCGGTAATGGATGGGCATCGTTCCGGTAAGCTAGCTTCCGGCAGCAGAAAAAAATAATTTACTATGCAAAATTATAAAATGCTAAATAATGAGATCGTAGTTGCAGGGGGAGGCTAAGAGAGATGTGGTGGGACAAAGAAACTCACGGCACGAACGCCACTGAGGTCGGCTCCTAGCCATATTAATAACTGTATCCAGCCAAACGTATTCATCGTCTTTCGGACTCCAACCAGGGAGCCGAGACGCTCCAACTGAGGCCAGCTTCGAAGTGAGGGCTTTCATTTCTCTCCACCAAATCATCTTATTTATCTCACCCCATCCCCCCCCCAACCACGATCTCATTATTTAGCTTTATATAATTTCGCATAGTATTTTTTTGATGCACCGTAGCCGGCTGGTAGCTTACCGGAACGATGCCCATCCGTTACCAGTAGCTCAGCCGGCTTGCACCAGTTGCTTTTTTTTCTCTCCTTTTTTCTGTGTATTGCAGCACAGTAGCTGAGGTGTTCCCCACCTCTAGCTAACGTGTATGATGATGATGATGACCAAGTCATCGCTTGGCCACCTCTCCTCTTCTTCCATCCACACCCCGGGGCGAACAAACAATGCACGTCGCGGGACTCGGTGGGCTGGCATGTGTAACACGTAGCCGAGCCATCGGAGCCTAGTGCTTGAAATAACGATGCTGAGCGGTTCATTTCCTTTTCCTTTGCCATAAACAAAGCGTCGAACATGATCGTTGCTCACTCGGTGTCCCCACCACATGTGTGCTAAATTTCGAAGACACCGGTGATCGAACCTAACTAGCCTCCTTATGAATGTTGATCTAAGGGTCCAGGTTTCACAACCGTATAGTAGGGTCGAACGTACCGCTGCATTGTACACTCTGCCCTTCAGGGCGACAGTGATGTCACGCCCGCGCCATAAGTGGTGAAAGTTAACAAAACCGCCTCGAGCTTTTGCTATACGGTTCGTGATCTCGTCTTCTATCCCACGGGCACTAATACAACTTCCCAGGTAGTTGAATTTTTGAACGACTTCTAGCTGATCCCCACCAAGGGTCAGCGAAGGAGGCGGTCCAGGCCAATCTTGGGAGAACGCTTTGAACTTTGATGGTGCAAAGCAAAGCCCGAAGTGACGGACAGCCAGTGCTAATCTGTCCAGTGCCGGTTGGCACGTATGGGAGCTGTCACAGATTAGGGAAATATCTTCAGCATACTCCAAGTCAAGAAGTCGTTCTTCTAAGAGCAGATCCACACCTTCTAAGTCGTGTCCTGTGAACGCGATTTCCATGACTTCGTCAATAGCGAAGTTGAAGAGGAAAGGTGACAACGGTCATCCTTGTCTCACCGCTGGAGATATTAAAGGGCGACGACAGCTTGCTGTAAGCCCTCACTCTGCCCGAGCTACGCGCGTATAATGCTTGGATAATATTTACATATTTCTCAGGTACACCTTTTTTGAGTAGACAGTCCCAAAGTACACGTCTATCCACTGAATCGAATGCACGTTTGATATCGAGGAACACGACAACGTTGGGCCGCCAATATATGTGACGATGCCCCAACAACTGATGCAAAGTGAAGATGTCGTCAATGCAACTATGAGCTCGACGAAAGCCGGTTTGCTTTCACAAGTGCCAGTCAGTCTGTGAAGAATGACAGAGGCAAGCAATTTGGAGGCGATGGAGATCAGACTGATTCCTTTATGGTTGCCGCATTCCGATTGTGAGCCTCCCTTAAAAATTGCGACTATGACGGAGCGGCTCCAGTCGGTTGGGACAGTCTCGTGCTCCCACAATTTCACTAGTAACTCGTATAAATCATCCACAATAGCAGGTCCCCCGAACTTGAAGAGGGCTGGAGGTAGATCATCTTGTCCCGCGGCTTTATTTAAGCTCAACAGTGCGATCTCACGTTCGACTTCTGAGCGAGAGGGTGGATCCAAAGGGACAGTCCATGGAGCAGGGCGATCAGTGGGCGCCGAAAAATCTATGGATTTCGACCGATTAAATTGCCTTTCAAAGTGCTCAGCTCAACGCCCCAAGCGTTTTGACAAGTTGTGGATAGGCTGTCCACTCTCGTCACGTATAGTTTCACTAACATCAGATCTCCTGCTGCCCGTTTCCCGTATCAGCCGGAATAACTTATGATAGTTACCATGGGCAGCGGCCATTTCCATCTCTGATGCACGATGCGATCACCAGGATTCACGCTCTCTGTTCAGGCTAGCACGGAGTTTTGCCCGGAGCTCTTTGCGAGTTTCATTGTGTTCGCTTCCAGCCGGAATATGCCGGTGAGAATCGATAAGTTCCAGAGACTGTGAAGAGACCCAATGTCCATGTTGGTGATTAGACATATCACATTAGGATTTGCGTGATGCTAGGATGGATTGGTGCATATCAGACCAGTGAGCTTCAATTGCATCCAGTGAGCGCTTACTCAACTCGCATGACAGCATATTTTGATAGGCATTCAGAACAGCTGGCTTCACCAGTTGGCTGGTGTCAGTGCGCTCACAACGTCCTAGTGGGCATCCGCCAAAACTCATCCGCATGTCAGCACATACTAGTGCATAATCGATGTCCATATCTGTGCTCCAAATCGAGCGACATTTCTGGACGCAGCCCCTTCATCGGTAACTTATCGAAATTTATTCGATTTGCGTCTATAGCTGGTGCGAAGCTGGTGGACGCCAAGTCACCCTTCGGCGGGTGCTGTGTCGGAAATTATTGCTTTCAAGAAATAAGCGAGCAAATTCACACAAATGAAGTAACCACTTACCGTTATTATTACGTGATAACTCTGTTGAAATGGTTATCTGTGAGTGTGATGTAACCAGCACACTAACTATGATGGGCTGTGACTTTTCCAGTCGTCCTAATACCTTCTTCGCTGTCGATTTGAAGTCAGTGAAATCGTGCCACCTGTCCGGAGACTTCGGTTACTTAGTCGCTGCGGTTCTTCGCTAATAACTGAGGAGGATCATTCTGCCGTGCATATCATCCATTATGGAAATCGTGGCGCCAACGGCCAACGGCACCAACGTACTATATAGACAAAATAGACTAGCTTGAGTGTTTTTCGAAACACGCCCTTCTACTCATTGTCATCTTTGTTAAACCACTTCGGAGTCGATGCACGCCGAACAGACTGTGGTGCTCGATTCCTGCAACTCTGCGCCGACCACGACATTTACTTTAGCGGCACTGCTTTCCAGCAGAAACGTTCACACCGCGTCACCTGGCGCCCACCGAATACCTCCATGACCTGGACCCAAGTTGGCCATATTGCCATCAGCTACAGATGGCGCACATCAGTCCAAGGCTGTCGGTCAATTTGGAGCACGTGCCTGGATTTCGAACATCCCCATGCCATACCCACGGACGCTGCGGATTTCTTTATCACCGTGTGTTGGATACTGCTTTTGCTTCGGATTACCGTGTAATGTTTTTTTCTGTGTGAATTGTGAACCAATATTCTTCATTTGGCGTATTTTCCAATCGGTGCAAATTTGGTGGCTATTGTTTGGCTAATTCCGATATCTCATTGATTGCCATCTGTCTCCGCCGTCTTGGATTTGCTTTATCTTGTGATGCCGTCTCATGCTACTTGCGGTTCCTGTTCAAAAGTTGTTGGACGTAAGGCTCGTGCACTTCGGTGCTTCGGCTACGATGTTTTATTCCATATTTCATGCATTGGCTTATCAGTTGACCTGTTTCGCAAATCTCTCGACATCCGACATCGGTTTTTCCAAGTTGTATATGATAAATTTCGCGCTGCAAGACATCAGAATTCACAGCGACTGCCAACAACTACCGGAAAACCTCTCTTCCAGGCAGAAACAAACCGTTCACCACATGGGGTCAAACGCCCTCTTGAAAGTGCCTCTGTCATCTCGCCTTCCCTTGTCACTCCGCGATCTGCAACATCACCAGAGTCTTCGACCCCGGCCGAGCCTCAGGTTCAATGTTCTCCACCGATGGAAGACTCGCAACCTGCAAAATGCCGCTTCACTGGTCGGTCTGTGAACTTCTGAACACCGAGGATCCATAGACCACTCAAAAGCGCAAGGGGCCACGTAATCGAGTTCAGGCATCCCCTGCTGATAAACGACAACCCAAACCGATGAGCTCCTTTAGTGCTTCTCCCACAGGTTCATCACCGATTTCGGTGAGGCGTCATCATCTCATGGTCTTCCACGTACTAGAGCCAAAAGATGAAAGCTCTCAGATACGTTATGATCACGATGTTGAGTTCCTCCAGGGACTCATCGATAGACTCTTGGATTTGGGTGAAAACAATGTGACGATTAAACAAGTAATCCTACTTGGCCGGAAAACTAACCAGTGATGTGTACTTCTGAGAATCACTTTGGCAAATCACAATATGCCGCAGCACATACTGTCTCGTCAATGAAGACTGAAACGCGTAAAGGTTCACATCCGCTGAGACTTGGAACCCGAAGATCGTTTGAAGACTGTGGTCATTGAACTCAAACGCCGTACAGAAGAAAGTGAAACTGATTGATGCTTCGGTGTTGCTCCTCCCAACCCTGACACCCCATAACCGGTTTCGTCCTCGTTTGGACTCATCAGATGGAGATAGCCTGAGCTGGAGTGGACCTCAAGGCCTCGTGTTTAAAGCTTGACGCCTTGACCACTGTGGCTTGGAAGGTGAGTCTGACTTACAAATTGTAAATTTTCGCGTAATCACCTGGGTGTATGAACCCGTATCAACCGATTGTTCAACCTCAAGGCACGTCCCGCGGTACCTCTCAGGACCTCCGTGTGGCATTCGCCAGCGTGTGCAGCCTAATGAACAAACATGACGAACTGTGCCGATTCGCTGTTTCGGAGCGGCCGGACGTATTAGGACTTGCAGAGATTTGGCTGAACTCCGACGTCGCGTTGTCAGGATACTCTTGTTTTCGATGCGACCGAAAATCAAAAACTTACAGTGGTGTTCTGTTGTACATAAAATCGTCACTATCAGGCAAACTTATCAGCGTCTTCCGGAGCGAGGATAAGTTATGCGAGCAATCGCGGTACACAGTCCGCCTCAGACGCGCCGAACTGATAGTGAGTGTTATCTACTGTAGCCCATTAAACCGTTGTTGTGATTGGCTGCCACATATACAGATGCGCTTGAGCCGCGTTCATCATCCAGGATAAGATCAAGTTTCTGGATACCAGAGAAATTCGATCTTGTGACAACCCCACTTATGCTAGGTGGGTTTTTAACTTAATTTTCTCATACGCGCTCGCTGTTTTCGTACCCATACCCATTCGCCATGTACTGCATTACTGTTTTCATTTGGGAGGTAAGTAACTTTGACACAAGTCGAGCTTTATGCGACCGCAGATCAACCCGCTCCAGCTTGACTGATTCATGGCTTTCGTAGTCACTGATAACATGAACTTTTTCTCCGGATCAGATGGTGGAACGCTGTGATTCTTGCACGATTACTCTGATGGATGTAGTTGTCTTAGCTTCACCAGATCCATAAGACTCCTTCTTTTGTTATTTGCCAGCAGCGTCATATTACCCCCATTTATTGCCATTGTTATTCATGATAGCTTTGAACACCGCTTTTTCGCTGTACGCTTTTTGTCTCACGTACTTCACAAGCGTAAATCAGTCATTGCACCTTATGGCTTGCTGTTTCCTGTTTCCAGCTATGCTCCAACTATTTAACCGCTGGTAACGCGTCAGTCGAAGGTCAAGTACCTCAGTTTGTGGATCCCCAAAAGCCATCCGGCGCTGATGCACGACATTACTGCTCTGCACCGCCTATTTCCTCTCCAACAATTTATCGCTCTGTACAACCCACTGGAATTTTTCCCACCCAAGATGAGATCACTTGCGTTGGTTTTCGTTCATCCGATTCTGGGCTCACAGACGTTTCGAACGCCATTTCTTTCTCAAACCATTTCTTCCCTACAACCAATTTACACCCGTCATCGCTCGCTCCTTCCTCAACTTCATCCAAATTTCCTTATTTCCCACTTGGTATGGAGCCTCGATGTTCGACTTTCCGGCCCCTGAACTCGTTCAACGACCCACGCAATATCGTACCAGTCGGAGTCCTGCGCGGCACTCTTCCACCCCTCCACTCTTCTCGCCGCTGCATTGCACCTGTATCTTCATCCTCACTCCCTGTTCCTAATCCTCATTTTACTCATCGACCTCAATCAACTTTTGGTCAACATCTAACATTACCCTTACTACCCACTTTAGTACCCCCTTATGATAGTCGGCATCACCGTCAACCACTACTAGTTCCTCCACCCGGCTTCCCAACACATTCGCGCCCCACGGACCAGTCCCATGCTACCACGAATCAGTATTTTAGCCCAAGTCCAGTTGTGAATCGTCCCAATTTCTTTGACTTTCCAATCGCTAGTTACCAAAATGACCTTTCCCAACCGCCACCACAAACGCACGTCACTCCTGCGATGGCTGCGGCGGCCTTGGCGATCGTAGCAGCAGAGCAGGTCGATGGAATAGCCTCTGGAGTTGGTATCCACCAGTCTTCTGTTCACACCAGCCCATATCATCCTGCTTTATGTACTTTGCCCAGTGTTGTTGTGCCAGGCTCAGCCTGTCATAGTGTTCTTAATTCCTCATATCCGCCGTCTACTCCACCTGGAGGAGCGGAGCATCCCGGCTCCCCCAGCGCACTTCCTGTGGAACGGAGCCGCTTATTGGACGAGTTCAGGTATGCCCCCTGCATATTTAATTTTGATCAATTTTACCACTGATATATCGTTTGCAAATACCTGTCTGTATATTCCGTAGCAGTTGCAGGATTATCTGCGTTACGAATACATTCTTCCAAGTCTATGGGGTGTATTCCGGACGGCGAATTCCCAACCTATAGTTAGTCAAACACATTGTTCCATAGCCACTGATTTGCCGACTTGGTCTTGCATGCAGGCGAACGATATCGCAGCATCCCTGGTTCACAGTTGATTGTCAATGGCCGTCTGGCAGCAATGTGTGTTAGTAAAAAGTACCGGAGTTTTATACCCCTTTTTTCTACTGCACTTTCTTGATTGCATAAATGCTTATTTCTGAACTCGTCGTAAACACTCCTCTAAATATGCTAAAATTTGTTATCGCTTCCATATGTTGCTAGCCGTTTATCGTGTTTACTTTCGAATACCGTTGCTTTTAAAGTGTCCTTTGGCTTGCCATCGAAACTGGGCCCAAACTCACAGAGTCTTGTGACAGGTTGGCGCCCCATTCAATGATGGGAACAAACTGGTTAATCAACCTTGACATATATACTTTGCGGCGCTTACTTCTTAAGGGGTTTTGAAACATATTTATTTTTTAGATATACTGCGAATGTAAATGTTAACTTTCTATTTCATACCTTGGCTATTGTTAATGTTTCAGAAAACGCTAGTCATGGACTTCAGGATACCCCCATTCAGAAAACTCTTACTACTCTCTACTTATTTAGGCAGGGATCTGTTGGGATTGATCGGGTAAGGTCTCAGCACTTGAATACGCTCCATCAGCTCGATGGCATCTCTATTGTGTGTGATTCAACTTGTCTTTGCAATTGATCACTTTCCATGGTCTCCATTGCATGTACCACCTCCCTTTCGATACTTTAAGAAATGCTCGATTACCCTGCCTCACATTGCGCGATCTGGCCAATCACATCGTGGAATTCGCACAGGATCAATATGGCTCGCGTTTCATTCAGCAGAAACTGGAGCAAGCGAGTGCTGTGGACAAAACTGCTGTTTTTCGCGAAATCCTTCCTTATGCATACAATCTAATGGTTGACGGCTTTGGTAACTATGTGATTCAGAAATTCTTCGAACTTGGAACCCCGGAGCAGAAACAAGTGAGGCGGTTCCGCTAGTTGCTGAATCTTCTGTCACTCAATATTACCTCATTTGCTTACACTACTCGCTTTACCATCGAATTAAGTATCACAGACACTCAAAACCTGTCTTTCGCCCATTCGTATGTCATGTGAGATTTCTTATCCGCCTTTGCTTGTGTACCGTGTTGTCATGTCTTCACTCAGTTGTTCCTGATGGACTTGCTGGTTTTTGTATACCGTTTTAGTGCATGTTTTTGTCGCGAGAAGTGACCCTAGTGCCACGTAATGTTAATGTTTTTCTAAAACATACTGTCATTGTCCTAAGTTGTATAACTCATGTGCTTTTCTGTGCTATCTCCTGTTGGGCCATCCTTGGTTTTTGCTCACTTACACCGGTTACCTTCTGTGCTGCAGTTCTGCTATAGTGTATTTTACAACCGTGTTTTTTGTTGCCTTCAGATGTCAGTCTATTTCTGCTTGGTTTCCGTCTTTTCCGCTACCTATAGCTTATGACTTCAGTAGATTTGGTCGATGTAGTAGTGTTTTGTTCTTCGTCTTCAGCAGATATTGTTCTGCCTCTCCTAACAGTCACTTCACACGCTGTGTTTTTGGTTGCCCTCAGATTGCTCAATCTGTGTGAAACAAAAGCAGCAACTATTGAACTTTTTCCTATCCTAATTATCGCATGCAATGATTTCTGCTGTGTCAGTTGCTCTCAACCGAAGCTCTTGGTCGCCACAGTTTGTACCCACCGGCTTTTGGCTACACAGCCACGTAGTATCGCCTTAGTTCCCTCGTGCTTCCAATGTTTTTCTTATCACCATGAGGATGTCACCCAATACAGCCGATTACCTGGCATATTCTAGTTTCTTTTGGCATATTTAAATGATCTTCGTTACGTTTGTTAGAGTGACTTTCAGCACTTCGTTTTTTAAAACAAGCAATTCCTTTTATAACTCCAGACAAGATGATTCGAAGACGCCATCTGGGAAATAGCCCTGGTGTTTCGTGCATGGTTTCTGTCACCACCATGCAACCTATGATATTCATACAAAGGACGCAGTCAAGAAATTGGTGACTAACCAGTCGTTGACTATTAGCTGCTCCGCACGATACCATGGTAAATTCGAATTCACAGCTGTTTCTGTGTGCACATCAGTGACCGTTCTCCATCGTTGGCTTCCATTAGCCTTAATATCTGGGGCCAGTGATTGCGCATCAGGGCGACGAATGACTCATGGGGGTCACTTGGAGCCAGTGCTTAGCAGGTGCTAGGCCTCTCGGTTTCCCCGATTCCGCTGTCACCGCTCCCATCCGCCTATGTAGCCACTTGTAAATGTGTTTACTGGTTCTGACGCACAGTCTGGTCAGTGCGTTCAACGAGCTGCCTCTGCAGCTAAAGAAGTATTTGTATTTGGGACATACACTACCTCGTTATCGGTGTCCGTTTTCTCGTGCCCACATATATTTGTCACCGTGAATAGCTCATCTTTTGTTTTATTTTGCCGTAGATCCTCGGTCAGCGTATAAAAGGGCAAGTCATCTCTCTTTCTTTGCAAATGTACGGTTGCCGCGTCATTCAGAAGGCAGTAGAGTCTGTTCCACTGGAGATGCAAATTGCGATTATTAAGGAGCTAGACGGATGTATTCTGAAATGCGTCAAAGACCAAAACGGCAACCACGTGGTTCAAAAGTGTGTGGAATCAGTTCCTCCAGAGCATCTGCAGTTTATCGTCGATTCATTCAAAGACTACGTAAGTGGCTTGACTCGGTCCCCACTGTTGGCCTACATTCGGCATGTGTTCTCCTCCTTCTTTAAAAACACCTCCGTCACCCGCTACTTTCACACATCGGTAACAGGTTATTTGCCAATCACCATTTCACCATTTATTTAGTTTTACTGTTGATACCATCTGATCTAGATGTCATATTCAGTTTTTTGCCAGGTGACAGATGTTCAAACGGATCAAGGCGATGGTTGTCAAATGCCACATCCGGTATTTTTTAAGTCGCATAGCTAACTCGAAGCTTTGGTGTTGTTTCTTCTTCATCACTGTTAGTTCCAAAGACTTTTAACGAGAAGTGTATCAAGTGACGTGCGCGATCCTCCAGCGACGTCGGCAGCTTCCACTTCTCTGGCACTTTCCTCTGCGATTCGACTGAACTAGAACCGGTGCACATTGTTCTAGCCGCAACTTTTCGTCTAAGTTTCACCGTTCGTCGTCGTCAATTTCCTTGTGCTCAATCAAATCTTTACAGTTGGATGATAATTCTGTGAAAACCTTTAAGATTTACTACTGATTTGTCTACTCTGACACATTTGCCATTTTGTTTTCTGCGGTAGCAAGTGTATTTACCATGACAACCTTCATCCACTGTCTTTTGTAAGCATGTATGCTTTTTTTCTTACTCTAACTACTTCGCAAACACTTTCTACTCACCTACATACCGTCTTGTTTATAGGTCCATTCTATTTCTACGCATTCCTACGGTTGCCGCGTGATCCAACGCATTTTAGAGCATTGCACCCCTGATCAGACTGCTCCAATACTGACCGAATTGCATCAACATACGGAATCGTTGGTGAAGGACCAGTACGGAAATTACGTCATCCAGGTGAGTTGCCGACCTTAGTTGGAAAAACCATGCACTATATTCGTTGCAGTGACCATGAGAGAATTGTGAAAGCCACAGCAATAGTTTATCATTAACGCCTATTTGTTTTGTTACGATCTACCTCTGTCTGCGATTTCGATCGAACTAAATTCGTTCCCTGCTGGCTCCGAGAATCAGAAGGCAAGCTTGGAGAAAAAAGCGTGTAACAGTCCAAGCTACCGAACGGATACAAGTAGTGTGAAAACCCGTGAATAATTATTGGCCTACCCAGGAATGTTCCCATTTCAGGACAGCTAAGCCAGCTGCCCTGCTCGGTAGTTCAGTTCCGCTATCCAATGGGGAGGTAGGTACGTGCGTCGTGTAGACCTGATGCAAACATTCCTGAAACGTCTGGATGTTTCTTTTGTACATCATTGGTTCTTCTCGTATCCAATAGAATTAACGAATTTTCCTGGGAGATTTTACTCTCCCCAACATAGCTGCGTTTGAGTCGGCTGTTTGTAGCGGCGCGCTACTCGTTTTTGTTAACGCATTTCTCAGTGCTTTTGGTTATTGCATTATATTCCCCCTCTAGTATTTCTGCTCTCCATCAGTCTGGTCATTATGGTTGTGTGGGAACAGAGCACCAACAGAAAGCATATATACACTGCCATCATTGCTGCCGCATTTGATCAACTTGTTATCATTGTTGTTGACCATGATGATGAATACTGAATACATTATTTTTTGAGAGCAAGTAAAGATTACACTCAGTGCAGGTCCATCGAAATCTGAGCGAAAAAGTCAATAAAGAATGCCGCCTGTAACGTGTCAACATTCTAATTGTGTTCGGGTTCCTTACGCAGTATCGTACAAACAGTTTGACTCATGATTCAAATGTGAAATGTCATTGTCAGCGAGTACTCTTTCTCTGAATCTAACAGTGGAGGAATGTGAATCCACCTATACTTTGCACTGCTATACTGAGTTTGACTCAACCATGTGATCTCGCAGACTTCCATTCATTATTTCGCCGATCGAATCATAAAAATTGGGCAACTCGCCTCATATCAGACACTGCAAGCTTGTATTGGTATCCACGTGTGCTGCGAGGTGTTCTGAGGCGCAGAAGCAATCATAACATGCGGAAGTCTCCGAGATTCAGAATACCTAGGTCATGACGTGTTCGACCCACACTCGATGTTATGACACTCCGGGTTTCTTGCGTCGGTCTTCGTATGACCATCCCTGCAAGCTGGGCATAAGGCTGGTAGCAACATGCTGGACCCGTTGGATCTTCTGCATCTCGCATCGGGTGATCAGGCAGTGGGCGGGCGGTCGGTACTCTAGCATTTCGCTTATGATGTAACGAATGGCAGCCTCTTCAGATCAAGAGCAAAATCTGCGTTTAAGCGCCCAGGGAATCCACAGTTCATTTCGGTGTACCTAGTTCTTGTTGTCCACGGACTTCAACTTGTAGTGTAGGAGTTTGCCAAAGTTCTTCACGGAAGGTGTGAGTTGTAGCGGTTGGCCGTCAGGGGTGTAGGTTCGGCACCATCTTTCCACAGGCTAGGTTAATCGGGAGGTGCACTTCTGTAGACCACAGGGAAAGGAGGTCGAGGTCTTGCTGAAATAGCCCACAGTCGTCGTGAGCGCTAATCACTCCACATCTTCAGATCATATACAAACATGGCGACTGCAGAAGGTGACTTACATCATTTGTTTAAACCAAGAACAATACGAGCCTCGGTACTGTACCTTGGGCAAGGGATACCAGTCATCCAGATGACAATAGACCTGTATCCCCCACTTTCGTCAACTAAGCACATTGCTGATTATTATTATTAATATTACCATTTAAATGATGTTTGCGTTGACTAGAGTTGATTGTTTTACCTTTCCGATATATCCCATTAATTACTGGGTGGGCCTTCCATCAAACCAATTTACCCTTAATAGCGAGCAACTCGAGGTAGTTGCTCACTTGACTGCTGCATCAGCAACCATGGGCGCATAAGCACTGAATCCGGTGCAAGTATTGTAACATCTTTGGCGTGAAAATGAGGTTTCCCTCGGTCTGAAAAGCCGTGTTTACTCGACCACAATGAGGACCGTCCTACTCTATGTATTTGAGACATGACCTCTACAGTCTGTGAATCTGAGGTGCCTTCAGGTCTTTGAACATCGCTGCCTTCGGGACATTTCTGACCTCGAATAGCACCAGCATGTCTGCGTAGACGTGCTATGCATTGATTATGTTAGTTTTTTAGAACAACAGATAACACTATATGAGCTGCTTTGCCTTGGGAGCGTACTATGTATGCCTGGCCACCGCTTACCGAGGAGAGCCTTTGTTTTGCTTGCCAGATTTAGGGTGGTGCAAGGCCCGATGTGGGCAAAAGTTGACTGCAGTGGGAAATGAGGTCATTGACGACCAAACTAGGTACTGTTTGTCCGTCTCGCCTTCCAAGCTGGAGTCCACGTGACCCATCTTGTGTTTGACTCAAGACTTTACAGGGCATGGCGCGTCTGCTGTCGTCTCGTAATCGGATTGCCAGTTTAAAGTGTGTTTGCTGCTGTGTACTCTGCGATGTAATGGCGGATTATGACGCGGGGCAATGAAAGCCGAAAGGAGGCTGTCTCGCTGATGTCGCCTTTACACGATCGCCAGCTGTTTGTAACGGTATGTTGTTGGCACAATGTGTGGACGCCTTGATTCCGAATGTTAGGTTTTGCGCCAAGTCTCCCTTCTCTCCCTCTTACTATTCTTCGTTCCGTAGGTCATTTTGGTTGTACGGCAGCGAATCATCATCTCAAATTTTCTGCTGTGCTGCTGCTGCTGTCCATCAAGCCACTACTACGTCTATCTGGAATACTTTGACTTTACATCTACCTCCCCATAAATTTAATATTTCCTTAGATTGGAGCTCATACGGCCTCAACGGGTTGGTTTTTACACATCCGGCAATTCATTTGGTCAGCTGTGAGGTTTACGCCGTCGATCTCATTTTTACTATCACACATGTTGAGGTAGCCTTCCAAGAATCAAAGCCAAGACTGGGCAGCTATCCAAATATCTGTTATTGTAGAGGGAAGGGTCGTTTAATACTATACGCAAGTTTGAATCAATGTTTTTGTGTAACACACTCGCTGCCTGATTCCTGTTTGCTATCTGCATGAGTTCATTGGCTCGCGCTCGTTCGTTCTCAGCTATTTGGACCACTCTATTTAGTTTACGATACACTGACTCCATTCTGGACTGTTCATCCGATCGTTTCGAGTGTGATCAGCTAGTGCCGACGACACTGACTAGCTTTCCACCTGCCCTCTTTGCCTGTTACACTCGCTTGGTCAACCAGATACTATCGCCCCATGCGCCGTCTCCTCTGAGTCAGTGTCACTTGCAAGACCAAAAACGTGCCTGACTCAACACTACAACCCAATTCCTCATTGCTCACCCGGCCTGTGTAAGCGTGGTCAACTTGCGCTCGCTTCGCTGAGTGGCTTTCTAGTTTACTAGCTGCGTTTCGCTTGCGTTCGCCTAACCTGCCAGCTACCATCGCAACGCATAAATTTTTCCTTCGCAAATACCTCAGCCCACAATACATTGCTGTCTGAAAGAGTTCTAATAGCGGCACATGATTGTTTTCTGTTTCAGTTGCTTCTGGATACTGGTAGATCTCCAAAAGCAACTAAGATTGTGCTATCAAAATGTGGTGACACATGTGCGGGCCAATTGTCCCATGAAAAAATAGCTGACTACCGGGTTATTTCGAAGTTCCTAGAGGCTGAATGCCTCGACCTATTCTTCACACCGCTCTTCATAGTTCACGATACTGACTTATCTCTAGACTCCTTACTCTGCGCTGCTCTCTGTCCATTGAACAATTCTGAAATCTGACCCCGTCCCACTTGCCTTAAAGGCAGGTTGATGCATCTTTCGTGCACCTTACTAGAACGAGTCACTTGGCAAAAACAACAATCTCTCGAATGGTAACCTATAGATGAAAAACCCCGAACGGAATCCCGGTAAAGAAACAAAGCAATTTGCCTTTTTCTTTTTAACTAGAGACTATTTTTTCAGAACACCAGCTCACGGTGTTAGACATCGTGTTTGTCTGCTGACAACGAATTAGTGGATACAGTTTGCAATTAATGCTTTTGTCTTTCTCCGTTGGATAGTTTCAGCATCTTCATCGGGATTTGTGGGCCCCATGTAACTGATTCATACGATATTATCAACTGTCGTTATTATGTGGGCCATTTTCGATTCAGGGCGGCGGCTAAACTTTTGTGGTTCCTTTTCGACGACACCGTAATTTTATCGGGGCTCAGTGAAGAGAAGTATAGATTTTACGTTTTGCCTTTGAAGTTAAGAAAAATGGCAAAATGAATGGAACCCAGAGTATCATTTAGATTAACTATTTACTTATCTCTTATATCACCTTATGATATTCTGCACCAATCAAGGCTCTCCAAGACTGTCAGGTATTGCTTGTGGCAGCAACTTAAGAGACGGCTAAAGCAGGGAACTGATTTAAAAGTGGAACATTCAATGAGATTTCAGCAGGTAGAGACTAGAATTTGTAGCCTGACCTAACCGAGTGTAATATGAATGAACGGTGCAAATGAGGATGGAAAAGCAATGTATGTTGACTGTCCTCTTCTAGCACACATTTGTTCAGTGGAAACCTTGGAGTTGACATGGAAGAGTAAGAGGAAAACCGAAGATGAAAATAGGATGCAGTCTGTCTAATTCCCCCCTTTGTACACACTTTTTGTTGCTAACTGGTCTCATACAATGTATTATCCGTCTAACACGTAGCTTTCACGCAGCGTTATCAGCGCAATGCCCCTGAGCATATAAATCGTCGCTAATCAGCTTCTCTTCTCGGATTCTCTTGTGTTTTTAACAGGGATGTAACCGGTATCATGCAACCCATAATTGCTTACTATTGTCATCTACATTACTGTTTTGTACTGTCTGTTCGTTATCCCTCCATGTTCCTCTACGTACACTTTTTTATTCACTACGTCTCTTTTTTATCCAGCATGTTCTAGAACATGGAAAAACGGAAGATAAAAGTCGCATAATCGAGCTTATAAGGGGTCGTGTTGCAGAGCTGAGCATTCACAAATTCGCCAGCAATGTTGTTGAGAAAGCTGTAGCCAACGCAACCCGCGCTGAACGCCAAGCTCTGATCAACGAGGTCCTTGAGGATAGTAATACTATCGAGGACGGGAACAGGCTACATTCGAGTGACGTGCTGCAGCTTAGTGATGGTAGTGAAAATAGCGGCAGCGCTGACGAGGCACATGGTGGTGGATCAGTTCTTTGCATGTTGATGAAAGACCAATATGCGAATTACGTTGTCCAGAAAATGCTGGATGTCGCGGAACAGCCTGTTCGAAGAGAGTTGATGAATCAGATTCGCCCACATTTGAACACCCTCCGAAAATATACCTACGGGAAACATATAATTAATAAAATGGAGAAACATTATATGAAAGCAAACCAGTCTCACTTAACTTTTGATCTAATCACATCGACCTCTGTTCACTGTGTTATTTCTGGTTCGCAATCAGACAGTGTCGCGGCATTCAGCGGAAGTACTGCTCTACGGTCCAATGCTGGAATGATATTACCGCCATTGTTGACTGCGTCTGATGTATCTGCCAGGGCACATAAGTTTGGCTCAAGCCGCGGAGCTCATCAACACCATTGTTATTATCATCATTCGTACCTGCAACCACCTTTACCGCTCCGCCACAATATTGGATCGCATTCGATCGGTCGAACCTCAGGATCCCAAAGGGTTAGACAACGCGAGTCGCAGATTAATCCTCCAAACACAACGGACACCGAAATCACTCCGGGCACAATGCTGCCATCTGGGCACGCTATTTCTGACGTGCACGATGGTCCATCTCAGAATTTCCCTTCTGGAGAGAATCGTTTTAGTCCACCCAGCTCTACTAGTTTCGGCGACGTCGGCTGTGGATCTGACCCGGAGATATCCGAGATGATTTCGAAGAATTTCAGTTGCGACTCACAGGATAGTGTTACTATTTCACTACCATCTGAAAATGGTTTAGTGAATGCCTGTCAATCCGAACTTTGACTATGCTGCTCGGTGCCACTTTCGGGGTCTAACTGCCACGTTTTTATTTTGGCCAACCGCAATGTGATCCGATCGTTTCCATCTGGTATACGGAAAATAACATCCTATTATCGCAACTACCCAATCTTATTTCGGTTTCGTTTTTATTGTACCATTTTTCTGCATGTTTCGACGCACTTTCCAAGCCACATTGTCTTGTCTCTCAATCGCAACGTTTTTGAATTCTTCTTAGGTTTGCACTTTTTTAATGCACCGGCAGTTTTCCACTCCCCACCTCTCCCGTCGTCCACTTTGTAACCGAATTTTCCACCCTGTTGCATGTGTTGTCCTCACTTCCTTCTTTTTATGCTTTGCTATCTCTATGCTCACATCCCTTGGTCTTGTGTGACTTTCGGTTTCCTTATTCACAACATACTTGTTCATTACATATTCACTATGTACACTTGTATATCACTGGTATCCACTTATTCACGTACAATACCATCCTCGTTATTAAATTTCGCCACTTTACTTTTTCGCCCAACCTTAACCCAATCAGCCTGTACCTAGTTTTGCTTTCTTTCTTTGTTGCATATAACTCAGTTCTCCGTCACTTCAAGTTATGTAAACAGTGTATATCCATCTCTACTGATCTCTTTGTAAACACATCCAGATCAAAGCTTCAGCCGCACGATTCCGCTCGTAACAGTCATCCCGTTTGAATATTTCTCTTCCATTCGTACGCGATCGGATGCTCTCCGCCCTATCGATGTTTTGTGATTTCGACAGTACTGTGTTTTCTTATTTATTTAGCGGGTCGTTTCCCCCATGAACACGAAATCATCTCTTCAGTCACACAATGGCAGACAATGATTTCACTTTTCTTTTATCTTCACGCAATTAAACAGGTATGGGAAAGATACTTTCCGTCTGTTCACTCTAATTGGTGCTATGCTATCCAGTGTTACTACACTGTTTTCTTTCGCACTCGGTTTCATGTGGTCTTCAAGGCGCTCACTACTGATCGCGATTACAGCTTTGCCAGTTCTAGAGGTAACACGCTGTCGGACTGCAGCCGTTCTCTCCTCCCATGTGGTTGCATCTACTACCTGTGCTTCAGTGATGTAGTCGGCGAGAACTGAAGCTTCTGCTTTATTGGGGTATCTGTTTGCCTTTCATGCACCTTGGTCCATGACTTTCTTCCCTACACTAACTCGTCCAGTCACTGAAATGACTCGGTCGTCATCAGTCCGGTGGAAGGCTATACATAACCTTCATTTGGTATCTGTGATGAGCGTATATTTGAGCTGCTTTTCCATTGCCTCTACCCTTATCGTTGATTATGCTCACCATGGCTAACCATCAGTCAAGGTCACCTATAATAACAGTGCATCGACAATCTGCACTGGGTACTTCACTATCACATGACTATACATTCATACATTTGAGTACTCACAAGACATGCAGCAGGGAAGCTGGAAATGGACTGAAACAGTATCAAACCACCTGCAGCATATGGCCACGAGAATCCGCGTTTGGTCACCTGTGATCCACGTCTAGGAGATCAGTTGATCCGTCTTCAATAGTTTATGTCTAAATGTCAACACTACTTGATCATTCAAAAGGAATGACAGGAAATTAGTTTCGTCCGGTTGAACATCTGGATGTCGGAGATATAGGAGTTAATTGACCACACCGCCCGCTTCGGAAGCACATCGTGCTCGAAGATAACTTCATGTGATTTGCTGAATTTCTACTATCCGGGAGAGTGACACGGGCCTATCCTATTTCATCTGCTTTTAACGCGGCATCGACTGGCCACCTAATGCTTTCATCGATTTACGGCGGATGTAGCTGCCTGGACGCACGTTGATGAAATGAAAATCTCCAGATAGCCATAAGGAAGAGAAAACACAGCTTCTCGATCTCCCCCCCATCCCATCAAGCCATCCAGCATGACGGTCTGCAATGGTGATTCAAGTAATACACTGGTGCAAGAGCCTAGTAGGTTGCTAACCACTAGTTGACGCATTTCAGTTGGCAATTATTGTAATGCGTGTGTTGGCCTGTTCTCCGAACCGGATGCTGTGAATGTTGTTACCTATGCATCTGTGATCGCACACAATTAATCGCTCAATGTTCTGACGGCGTGTGGGCCAGACCCCTGATTCATACGGTAGAAATGACCGTGCTGCAGATTTCTAAAGCTGCACGAGCTCTAGCAATACTTGCACTCACCTACTTTGCTGTGATACGGCTACTGAAATAGTTGGGCCGGTTCGTTGATAATGGGAATTCGGACCAGTTCCTATCCACCGCTTTGCAACTTGAGGGAGCAAAGAACTTGCCAAAGCATTCAACCTTTCACGTCAGCCTGTTCACTAGCATAACATTTGGTGCCCATCCCTAGGCGTGCTATCATCCACACTAGACTTGATAGTCGGTCACCAAACGGATTTTATCGAGTAAATTGTAGATGAACGCCGTTGTTGTTCATGGTTTCTATTGCAATTTTGGAAATAATGAGATCCAGCTGCCCTGTCATACTCCTTTCATCGTCCGTAGCTCCGTTGACGTCACCACTTATCACAGCATTTGCACCTTTCTAGTGATACCTAGACACTATCCACCGAAAACTAGAACCAACTGGATCAAATTCATTAAGGTTAGTGTAATAGACCTGTCGTATGTATGCCGATGTCCAAGCACCTACCTGCGCCCTCTACTGCAGTTGGAGTTAATCTGACTTCGTATTGATCTGCAGTCACTATAACATGATCCGTGTGAGTATTTCGATGTTCATGAAAACGAGACCTGCTGCAGTTACTCATACAACACAGCCCCTACATTAAATAAGCATCTCATTGCATGAATTTGTGTCGCGCAAGTCAATCAGAGTAGTGTATTCGTATATAAGTCACCGCCGTTCCTCAACGACAATGGAAGACCATTGGAATTTTTCGTTTTGTTCCACTCCATCAGCGCGAGGTAGTGTCGAATTTATGTCAATTGTGAGACTTGTACATTTAAAAATGGGTTTTAGATGTCTGAACTGTCAACTCTCACCCACCAGGCAATGAGAAGTGGTCTTCGAACTTCTCAGCAGAACGTCAAAGTCTGAATAACTGAAGAAGGAACATTTGTCCGCCTTTCTCTCTCTCCCTTTGTCCACTGCACCGAATTGGTTGGCACATCATTGATGCTCTAGCAATATCACTGATTCTATCTCACAGTCCAAGAGCACTTCGGTTTACTCGAGTTACTCCCGGTTATATGACGTTCCCGAATAGTAATGACACTGAATGTCACTTTTCAACAGAACCGTCCTTCTTGCTTCGCTCAGGCTATGGTAATCCATCTTTCTTTCGAACTGTCTGTTTTGGCAAGCAAATTCAGCTACTTCTTTCTAGCCTATTTCAGTCGCTTATCATTGCCATCTGTTGTTACTGCTTAAGGGATTGCAAGGACAGTTAACGAATAGGCACTTCGAGATGTTGACGTTTCTCGGAGGCCAGAGCAACGGGCATTACGTGAGCACTCACATGTCAAAAATCAACCCAGGTGCGCTTGATGGGCTGACGTTCTTTTAAAATGCACCGCGCAGTACTGTTACCGATTTGGTCACTTTTGCATCTTATAGTCCTTGTCTCACTGGCTACCATGGAAGCTGGGGCTAATAGTTGTGCCAGAAATACATGCTGCTAATATGGCGCCTGGTGCACAACTACTCGAAGCGGTTTCCAACGTCAGTACTCCAATCGTCGACTCGGAAACCACTTCCGAGGCGATATCGTGACTATGGTGAGCGACGCACCTCAGTTGATCAGTGTGTATACACTTTCGGCAGATTGCGTGCGGGAACAGATCAGTACTTGAAAACATTGCTGAAAGTGCTGACTACCACAACAGATGCTCAGTTCGCACGTTTTCTGGAGCGGACTACGGGTTGTCTCGGTAACTTATTTACCGCAATGAATCGCGTGTATAACTAACTGATGTGAATCAAATCGAGGGGACTCTACGGGCTAGGAACTTGCGCTGCTTCGTCGTAGGCATTTGAGCACTCGTGTCTTCAAGGCAGGAAAATAACTGCCATCTATTATTGCCCACGTTTGGTCATCAATTTACTAGCTGTCAACTATCTGGTTCTTCCACTGGGAAAACCGCTGTTGAATCATACGCTCCGGTAGTCTACGGTAGTACATCTTAGCAAACTCCTTGGATATAGAAAATCGTGCACAACGTTGTTCGTGACCATTCGATCTTGGCTTTATTAGCCTACTTCGCGAACTTTAACGTGCGAGCTAGATGTCAGGTAAGTACGCGTTTATGCCTCATGCCGAGCATACAATTTTATCCTCTGTTCTTCATCACAAAGCAACGATCATTGTATGCAAGTCTAAAACTTTCGGATAATATGTCTCCGAAGGATTGGTGTAAGATTTCCCTTGCATTCTTGTCACTTTTTCTCTTTGGTTGATGAATGTTTATGATCATATTCTTATAGGTGACGAGTACGGGTTTTGTACTTACTTGAGACGGAACACTTTTGTAGCGGTTTAGAGATTCCCCCTCTTTTCTGAGTGTATGGTGTAAAATACCAACTAAAATTATTATCTCGTTGTATCATTACATGTTGTGTGCAGAATGTTGTAATTTATGTTGAAACTGACTCAACAAGCGTACAGATACGGCGCAATGGTCGGATTCAACACGCTGCTTAATCGCTCCCTCACATACCCCCTTCACTTCCGTGCCTTCTATTCAATTAGTAGGAACGGCAATTGCCCATAGTCAAACAGATACACCAAGCCTGTTCTCGTGAGCCTACCCACTCCCGTTACAAGCGCATATTGCACAGTTGGCGACTAATCAAAGTGTGCAAAAAATAAATGAGCCAAATCTTGTATTGCTACGGAGGTCTCTTTAGAAGTCCGAAATAAAAGGCCTTCGATGTCGAGAATGAGGTGTGTCGTGGTTCAACATGAAAAATTGTAACTAGCAAAAGTGAGAGTGAATGATCTTGTCTAATGGTTCCTTTGGAATCGATGTCCAACGCGCCGTTTACATTCTATTATTTAACCAATTGCAAACTGCTGTACATCACGGCAAGCTGTTGGAGCGAATATGTCTGACTTCATAAAACGAGGTAGTCCAGAAAGACGGCCAACGAGACCTCAACCTACGCCGCTGCCAAACGGTGCGAATTGGAGTAGTCTCTCCCTCCGATCCGCTCCAAATTGACCCTCGTCCCATGACGAATGTCTAGATTTTACCTTGGATTCATCGTTGACTGCATTGATCGAGAGGGCCTACGAGCAGAGGGGAGGGTTGGGATATGTAAGGACGCAGAAGACGCCAAAAGGAACTAACGAAAGCCTTACATGCAATCTTAGTTAGGTCTTTGGGTTTTTGAATTTTTCCAAAGGTTTTTAGGGGCTTTAGATTTTTGTTCCTCCATGTGCTATCCGATCGAAACTGGGCAACTATATTTCATATCTACAACACTAAACGTGTATACAGTGTACATAATCAGCGAAGCGAAACTCCTGACCACATCATTTGATCGGTGAAAGCGACAAGCTAGGTGTAGAAGATAATGTCGGGACGGCTGATGCCTGTAGGTCACGATCGGTGACTGACTGGAGGATGCTAAGCATCTGGAACTTGGTGCGGTTATCTGAAACGTCTATCGATGCATTACTAGACAATGAGGACGAGGTGATTTCCTCCATAAAGGTTGGTTTTGTGCGGTCGAAGATGACAACTTCATGTGTGCCATCGTGGTCGATTTAAACATCATTTTTGTACGGCTAATTAATCTTAGGGGCCCGACGTACGGTGAGTGCAAGGATATCGGACGCCGTCTGCACGTAGCAGTACATGCGAACAAGTGGACAGGTTTTAGAGCACGTACACCGGTGTCTTCTGCAACCATGGAGCAGGCGAGCGCTTCACAGGCATCTGGTG